GTGGGGTAATGGCAAATGCTAAAGAATCAAGGACTCATCGAAAGGGTAAACATATTGAACGAAAATATCATCTCTTGAGAGAGATAGTTAGTAAAGGAGATGTGTTTGTCAATAAAATTGCTACTGGGGATAACCTCGCAAATCAATTTACCGAAAGCTTGTCGGTTAAAGTTTTTTATGGACATCTGCAAGGCATGGGGTTAAAACACATAATACGTGTACTCTAAGGCAAGTGGGAGATTTGTTGGGTTGTGTGCCCATATAGTATAGTTTTGCTGATATAAAAATAACAATATTTTTATATTAAATAATTTTCTTTTTCATTTATTGTATTTATTTAATTATTGAGCATGCAAATTAAAGTGCTTATGATCACTTGTGATAATATAAGTTGGGTACTTGCGTTGAGAAGTACAGTGTGACACAACTTATATTTTGATAATAAATAATTCGTTCACTATCTATGTATAAAGGTTGACACCTTGTATCGGAAGGTTGTAGTGTTGTCCGATTCACTATTCGTGTTTGTGATTGTCCTTATCATAGAAATAGTTAAATGTGATACTTAGTACACTTGGAGTGTAGTGAACGAACCACATGTCGATTTTAATTCTATAGCACGATCGTGCGGTGAATTAAATTCTACTTGACCGCTGTGTATTTCATCTAAATCTCTTAATAGAGTTATGTATATCTTTTCGTGATTTTAATGGTTCTATAATTCATCAATAAGTGATATCAATTTGATTGGTCAAGTATTTCGATGAGTTGGAAACTTGAGAATGAGCGAAGTAGATAATATGAATTCGTGTCGGGAACCATCGCCATAAAAAATGGGTAGAATGACTACTTAAGTATTTTCTGTTGAACGGTTAAAATCTGAGCTCAGTATTTAGCAACGGCTAAATTTCGATATTTGTGATTTGTTCACAGAACCTTAAAGAAAATTGTGCTTAAGCTAGTGAGTATAATTAGAGGGTCCTTTATGGTCGTACCTAATTATCGAATCTTGGACGGGGATAAAATATATATACGACATATCATAGGAAAATATTACAGATTTATTAGCTTCTGTGATCTTATATATTTCGAGAGTTCAGTCTTTTGCTTTTAGTGGAAAAAACAAAAATTAATAATTAGATTAGATGGTTTAGAGTCGACTAAAAAAGATTTAATTATTGGAGATTGGAAAATATGTATCCGATTAGGTCCCCGTGGTAGTTCTATAAAGTACTCGAATTTAATCACGGTAATTATAATAGTTTTGGACTTAAATTGTAATTACAATAAAATTTTGTACTTACTTATAATTACTATAAAAGTTGTAAACTTAATTATAATTGTAATTGAAGTTCTAGGACTACACATATAATTAAATGTAAACTAATTGGATTTGGACTTTAATTAAAACTCATATTTGGATTTTAATTAAAACTCCTATTTGATATTGNCGTGATTCAGATTCAGTTCTAGAGTTGATAATTGAATTTAGGTAAAAATTTGAATATCTAATTCTTGATATATTATATACGTAAACATTTAGACAATCTGTTTATTGAATTAAAGAATTTTTTTAAATTTCTGGATAATTTTGCTTCTGCATTCCAACAAAAGTTAGTGAGAGGGCAATTCACAAGGCATCAGAGATTCTTCGCCTATTTCATCACTACTATTTAAAGAAAAAAATACAGCCTTTTAGGGTCCGTTTGATTGCAAGTGTGGAAAATTGGTGGAAAAAAAAATGAATTACAGGGAAAGTAATTGCCTAGAAAATGGTTTGTAGAGAATTGTTAATTAAATGTGTTTGATTGATATAATTTTCCATCCGAAAAATTTTTAAATTTTGTGTTCGTTTGACTTTGTTTTATATGGAAATTGTCCATTAAAGTGATAATTTTTTCTACAATTGGTTATAAAATTTGTTTCCATTGCCAAAAAGTAAAAAAAAAAAAAAATGAATTTTTTTCCTAAAAAATCATTTTTCCATCAAAGTTTAATATACATTTTTCCATCAAAGTTATGAATTGTATCCATTGCAAATTAAAAAAAAAATGTAGAATTCATTTTCCCACAAAAAATGTGGGAAAAACATTTCCCACAAATCATGGAAAACTGGGGCGTGAAGCAAGGGGTGAAAAAATTTTGGCCTAGAAAATTGTGACTATCAAATTAGCCAAAACCAATAAGAAGGAAATTGAATTCCATTTTCTAGGGAAATAATGGCTTTTCAGACAGGGCCTTAAGCTTTTTTTAGCCCTCCTTGAAATGTGAGGCCCTGGACCATTGCCTTGGTGGCTTGGTCTAGGGCCGGCCATGCTAGGACAAACCCAACCTACTAGATACCAAAAAATCATTAAAAATGGTTAATTTTATCGATGGCTATTAAATTTTGATTTGTTTCAGATTCTAATTAAACTATACAAAATATTTCATTTTGACTACCAATATAGTTTTACATTCATTGTTTAAATACGAATTTTACATCTGTGTGCCAAATCATCAAACATTAGGATTTTCAATTGAATCCTATGAGTTGGTATGCACAAAATTTTTAGTTAAAATATGGATGCCAAAGAGAATAGGTGGTTTGAATAAATCATTTTTGTAAAATTTAATGATGCGTCTGAAATAAATATAAAAAATTCAGTGTCCAGGATGACACTAATTACATAGTTCAACGACCGTTAGTGAAATTAATCCCCAAGAAAAGAAAAAAAAATTCATAATTGGTGTGTACAAGATAGGCAAAACTGAGCCATAATCATAGTTGATACATCGTTGATGTCGAGTTGCACTTTTGTATAGATTATTGTTGATTTGGGGTTGAAACTCATATTTAAATCTTGAAAATGCGTGTAAATTCTTACAATCTAGTATCAGAGCCTAAAAGGATGTTATAGAGCTTGAAAATGGAAAGAAACCAACGGATCATGTGTAAAACTTTGTTGAAATCGAGTTCTATAGATAGGAAAAATTAGATTTCCTATTGATTGATTCATCTAATTGCATACGGTTAGGCAGCGAGTGGGTGCCACCATTGGATTCACAGCGTTAAGGAGAGCACTCGCTGTGGCCCATGGTGGTCGTAGGTAGATGATGCGATAGCACGCGATCTCGTGCGATGGAGGATGACGATCTGACTTTGTATTTTTTAATGCTATTTATCCCGTTTCTAATTTTGTTTTTCTTCATTTTCTATATTACGAGTTGTTCTCCATTTTTGTAGATTGAAGATGATCTTCATTTATGGGATTGAGGAGCCTACTTTAAATTTTTTTCATAGACAAGTTGCAAACCTAGTGCAAAATACTTAAGTCCTATAGTTGAAAATAAATTCGATCTCTCCAATAATTACAAACATGCAAATTTGTTCTATACCACCAAGATCAATAAAATTGCAGTAATAAAATGAAATAACATGCAGGATTTATATATGTGCACCTCAATGTACGACAATGTTTTCGTCTGTTATTGCAGTACTTCACTATAATTTTTTAAAAATTACAAGAAAAAGTGCACAATTTTTTTTTCTAACAACGGTGTCCTCGCACCCTTTGGAAGGGGGCTCCTGCCCTCCTTCCAATACCTACAACGTCCTTACTGTGAAGGTCAATCCATGTATGTATTGCGCACAATGACAGTAATTAATCTCCACAACTAAACAATCATTAGTATCCATCTTGTAAAAAACTATTACTAATTTTAAGATATTTTTACCTCATTAATAATGATATTTTTACTGGACAAAAGTCCAATTTTACATCCAACAAAGAGCAAAAAGCTACAGTTATTAATTTTTGTTCTCTGAGCCTCTATTTCAGCTACATTAAAATTTTCATTATCATTCTTTCACTCATTTTCAATCACACATTTTTCAATAAAATAATATTTTCCATCACATTAATAACTTTTCCTTACTTTTTCAACCACACATTCTCTATTAGTCTACTATTCCAAAATACTTTCTTCCAAAATAATGCGGCCCAAACACAAATGTACATCTTAACAACTCTTTCTGGCCATTAAATCAAATATATACCCCTTAAAATTCCAATATAAAAACAAAACCTTTTAATAAGACAAAAAAATTGTAATTAATGGAAGAAAAAAAAAAAGAAGTTAAAATGGAAATTCTTTTCGGCTATTAGAAAATTAACTTCTTACATCAAACTTGTGTTAGAAGAGGCATCGAATTAAAGGTTAAGGTGCATTGGTAACACTTTGTTAATTTGAACTATCTAGAAACCAATTACTTGTATTATAGTTATAGTTTTACATTTTTCTTGTAGTTTTTGAAGTAGAAGCATTATTATAATTTAAAAAATATTACTATAATACTAAGGGTCTGTTTGATACCCTTAAAATTTCCCTAGAACTAGGAATTCTTTTTTCATTTTCTAGATTTTGCCTTATTTGATAGTAGAAATTTTCTACGGAAAATTTACCACTTTCTCTCACACGTGCACATTTTCCTTAATTTTGTTGAAATTGATTTCCCACCTTTTAGGTGAGTTTTCATTTTCCAGTTTTTTTTATGGTAATTGAAAAAAATTCTAGACCCAATGGTAAAAAAATTTATCACTTTTATTGACAATTTTCATGCAAAACAAAGCCAAATGAATAGTATTCGATTTGGTATTTTTTTTATAAAAAAAATTTTGGCAAGTGAAACAAATTCTAGACCCAACGGTAAAAAAATTATCACTTTAATGGACAATTTTCATGAAAAATAAAGTTAAACGGACACCAAATTTTTAACATTTTTCAGGTGGAAAATCTTATACTATATTAAAGAAGGATAGCTGCATAGTATTCCCGCCTAAGATGCTGCCCCAATTTCCTGCCCAAGGGAAGGGCAAAAAAAAAAAAAAAAAAGAAAAGAAAAGAAAGAAAAAACGCATGAGTTGCAGACCAAATTCAAATTCAGTTCTAACATATTTCCTATTCATTCCTTTCTCGCCTCAACTCTCAATCGGCGACGACCCCAAGCGGCAGACGGCATGATCCTGTCCATCTCCGGTCGGCAAGAGCCCATATTTGCAGTCGAGCCGCTTTTGAAACGGAGTTCGAATCACGCTGCATTTCTCACCTCAACTCTCAAACGGCGACGACGCTCTCCTTTCCATCTCTGGTCTGCGCCTTTTGCTAAAATCGGTAAATTCTTCTCCATTTTGTAACATGTTTCTATATTTTAATTTTGTGTTCATCCACATTTGTCCCGTCGCGTACTGTGTTTGCTTTTTCTTTACATTTGTTTTTTTTCCTCTTGAGGATGACATCTTTTCACAACTGGAGACATGAGTGGAGGAATTGAGGCGGAAAGATATGGAGAAGTCTGGCAAAAAAAAATCAGGAGGCAGATGCGGAGGCAAAAACTCTGCACGCGGAGGCTGCCTCCGCACACGGAGGTACCACGCCAGCCTCCGCATGCGGAGGTTGGAACCTCCGCACGCGGAGGCTTTCACCAGCCTTCTGTGCAGAGACTGCCTCCGCTAATGCGGAGGCAGGTGCCTCCGCACACGGGTTCCGCTTGTCCTCCGCTCACGGGTTCCACTTTTTTTTCCTCATGTTGACAGTTTGCTTGACAGCAATGGATTGCAGAGAGGATCTGAGCAATGGAAAAATGAACAATCTTTCTGTCAACCAACAATGGGTGATGGAGTTGCTTCCTTTAGTTCAGAAGGTAATATTCCATATACCCTTCTGACTGATTAATGCATCTTCTTTTGCAACGTATAACAAACGTTCTGCCTCAGACGAGGGTCCTGGAATAGAAGGCTTTCAAATTATTGGGGAGGCTAAACCAGGATGTAAACTCTTAGGCTGTGGATATCCTGTACGCGGAACTTCTCTTTGTATGTTC